AATGTATCATTTTTCTTCTACTTAAAAATCATGAGCTTTTTGTTTTGTTCCAGTTGCAATACATTGAAATTTGTGAGAGACAAAATGTAATGGTGAGTTAATAGGGCCTTTTTTTCTAAAGTACTATAACCTTTTCTTATTTATAACAAAGTGTCAAAGATTTTCAGAGTGTGTTACTTGTTCCTGCACAGCACGATGCATGTTCATGGTGCTGTGGTGATGTAGCCTCTTTTGCAAAGCTGTGGCTCACTTTTTCAAGTTACTTTGCCTTAAATCGCCACTAATTTCAATGCTACTGTGAATACATACTTGCAACTTTAGAAATCCTGCAGAATGGTTTGTTTGGTTTGTAAATTTATATGCTAAAAATATTTTTTAATCACAAATATGTTACATTTTAAAAACATCTAACAAACAAACCTAAAATTCAGAAAGTATGTATATCCTTATATTTAAAGGTATGAAGTAGTGTTTGAAAAACACATTTTAATGTGCTTTTAGATATAGATATGGAGTAGGACTCAGTATCTGATAAATGCAGGTTTATATTAAAGACAAAAGGTACTTCTTCTCCTCTTCCGAGCTTCCTTTTCGCAGTCTGCACACTGATTGTCCCAAATCGCCTTGTTAATGGAGGCAGCATTCGTCTCATCAATTTCTGTCTGGCGGATATCACATTCTGTTAGAGTGCTGTTGTGAACCATCGCCTCTGCCAAGGCTTTACCTCCGACCTGCACAAACACAAGACACAGACACACACGTGATGTAGCAAAGAAACACAATGCTTGTGACAACATCCCACAATGTAACAGCTTTAAAGACACATTTGACAACCTTGTATAATCACCACTCCCAGCTCACACTTTCAGAACTGCACATTGCTGCTGTCACCAGTGACAAATAGTTGTTTTCTTACACAGAAACAGCCATTTCTATTTTTACAAAGATTGAACCAAGGTCACAGATACTGATGGTATTACGTTTCTGCTGTGTGGGTGACTTTTGATCCTCTGCAATGTATTCCAGACAGAGATACGGTATTTGAGAGGAGAGAGCGTGAGAGAGATAAAAAGTCAGAAATGTGTCTCATGGGGAAATACTTAACTCTGCTCTCCATTACTACATGTTTTCCACACGTGTCTATGAATAATTGAAAACCCCTGTATTTCACAGCTATTCTGGTTACTTGCGGCACACATGCCTGTGCAGACTGCACCAGTCATCAAGTGAAAACAAAGGAAGCTATTTTTCCACACTTTAGTTGAATAAACCAAGTTTTGTAACGATAAAGGTGTTTAATGATACGGTGCATCTGGAACGTATTCACAGCACTTTTCTACATTTTGTTATGTTACGGCCGTAATCCAAATTGTATTGAATTAATCTCTTTCCTCAAAAATCTATGCACAATTACCTCATTATGACAATTTGGGGGAAAAAAATCATCACAATCGCCATTGCTTGGATTTCTATTTTTAATAAATTTGCAAAACACGCAAAACTTTTCCTCACTTTGTTACTTATAGGCATGGAAAAAGAAAAGTATGTAAAAATATTTGAAATTGCATCTATCCATGTTTCTGTAGTTAGAGCTTGAACGCCGTAAAAATAGCTGGTAAACCTGAGTATTAACAATTTTAAAATGTGTAAAGAAAAAGCTTCGAGAACTTAACTCTGTGAGAACATTAATGGCTCAATTTTCACATGTAACATGTAGGATCAGAGTCCTATAAAATACATCAATTTATTGTTTATTTATCAGATGTTAATTGAAGTAGTACGTCAGAGAAAGATTAACATGCATGACATTTCTGCTGTTGGTGATCCAGGAAGTACTTTGGTGTATTTCACACACCTTTCTGCTAAATTAGTCCTGATGTAGTAGTAAAACCTTTAGCAAAGCCTTGTGACATGAATGTTATGGTCAAATAGAACATGTTTAAAAATTATCTTAACCCTTTTAAGAGTTACAAGTTTGCTTCAATTCCCAATGGAGCAAAATAAAGTAGCTTTATAGAGATAAATAATAACGACTTGTTCTAACTTACCTCTCCAAGGCTGTTGCAGGACAGATTGAGGGTCTTCAGTGTTTCATTCTTTAGAAGCACTTTTGACAGCACAACAGCAGTTATGGAGGTCAAATCATTGCCTCCCAGGTGCAGGTATGTCAGGGTCGTGTTGTTCTGCAAGGCCTCGACAATGGCCTGCCCACCTTCGTCCCTCACCTGGTTCAGACGCATGTTCAGGTACCGTAGAGTGGAATTGTTTGACAGAGCCTGAGCTAAGATTTTGGCTCCATGGACGTCGATTTCATTGTTGCAAATGTTGAGCTTCTCCAGTCGGCCCTTGGAGAGCAGCTCAGCAACAGACCTGGCACCACCGTCTCTGAGGATGTTGTGAGCTAAGTCGAGCTCTATCAGGGAAGGATGGTCCATAAGGCATCTCAAGAGCGGGCGACACTTTTTATCGTCAACTTGACTTTGACGGATCCTCAGGACCTGCAGACACATAATACAGTACTCTGAGGCTTTAAGTTGTCAGCAATAACTGCTGATTGAATGGTAATATTAAAGAAGAAATTAATACTGAGCAACAGCTGTGAAAACCTTGCAAAAAGAAGTGGCCACAAATCTGGAAAATAGCTGGAAATGTCACAAAATTTGCAAATCTTAATTTTATGCTTTCAGACTGAGCCTAAAGTAAATGATCTGTTCCAGAAACTTTGATAAATTTGACCATAAAAGTTGTGTAAATACCAAAAAAAGGGGCTTGTAGACATGCCATCCACAGATATCTTCACTTTCTATTTTTTTTTCACTTAAATGCTTCAGATCATCAAACTAATTTCACAATTAGGAAAACAAATTACAGTTTTCATTAAGGGAAGAAAGTAATTTAAGCAAGCCTGACTTAAGTGAAAAATCAAATACCCCCTAAATATGAAAGGGTGGTGTTACCACCCTTGATGTCTCAGAAAAGTGAGCTTAGAGAGCATGAAAGTTCAGATTTAAGTCCGAACTGTGACAACACCTCTCCAGATGCAACAATTTTTATTTTTGTGTGTGTGCCATGCAAGGATACCACAAAAAATTTGTAAATGAAAAGATACTTTTTTTTTTTTTTTTTTACAGAACTGCAAATAAAATAAATTGCAACCTTTTGTATATAAAGATGAGAGAAATATATGTTTACCTTCAGAGTTTTGCAGCCCTTAAAAGCTAAGGTGAGGGCTCTACAGTCCCTGTCGGTTATTTGAAACATTGTCCATTCAAAGTTCATCCCACATTGTTTGATCGTATACACCAAATGGAGCTCTTCCAGATGTATCAGCTCAGCCAACACAGGCCCAAAGTCAAAATGACAAATTGAAGGATCATCTTCCTCCTCATTGGAAAGCGTTGCTATTTCATTCTGATCATCCTCTCTCCCCTTCACAAACTTCCTTGAAGTCAGCAGCAGCTGTGTGATGTTCAACCTCTTGACATAATTTTTACAGAGAGCGAGTGCATCGAGAATGACCTTAAACTCTGTTTCCTCTGGGATGAAAAGTTCGATCAAGTTCTCCAAGTGCCTCTCGAAGAACATCCGTTTCCAGCTGTAGTCATACTGAGAGATGTCGCAGATCTTCCACCGCTGCTGGCAGCACCGCTTCCAGAACAGACCGTCAGGGACCAGGTCGGCAGTCACATGCAGAGGCAGGGAAAGAGACAGCCTCGACTGAATTGAATCTTTCAGCTCGGGTGTGAGTTTTTCAAATAAATACTTTTCTGTAACAAGCACAAATTAAAATTTAACGTTAGTTCATAAAAAGAGGCACAAAAAGAGCAACACAATTCTAATATAGTGGAGTTCAGGTTGCTGTTGTGCTGAAAAGTGAACCTCTGACAAGGATTTAATAGGGTACAACAAAAATACCTTCAACTGTGTCTGCAATGCATCGTTGACATAGGCTGGACAAGCTGGGAACCAAATCCAGGGACCAGTTTGGATCTTCGGCAATTATACTTCTCATTTTTATTTTGTTTTCCACTGGGTTGGATGGTTTCTGGAAAATGACAATGATATGGAACAAATTGAGGGTGTTTTTAACATATATTAAATATAAATTTTAACAAGCTGATATATGTAAAAGATATATATAAACAATACAAATAAACCAAAATTTGTCATATTGAGCAGAAAGCTTTGCAGTTACAAAACACTGTTGTTGATATCTTAAGGAATAAAACAAGAATACTGTTGTTAATTATTTCTTAATAAAGACCAAAGTGTCCACATTTTGAATATATCTCTATTCGCAGAAGAAGAAAAAAACACTTGCTAATGACATAAAAGCGCTCATCTAAATGAGTTGCTAGAAGTTTTAAATGTAGGTTAAAAACGGCTAACTTGAAGATGTCCCTTTAAATTTTCCATTAAAGCAGCTAACGTTGTAGCCAAACTGCGGCCAGCGGAAAATAAACTCAAAATAAAAAAAAATAAAAAAGACTTTTCAGACTTTAACACTATTATTCTTCCCGTTAAGACAACAACTCACTATGCATAAAGATACATTGTATTGATAAATTTATATGAGGCCTTCGTAGCAAACCTGATGTGTGCTGGTTCCGGAACAAGCCTGTTTCTATGGAAACGAAACGCTTTCAGTTTAATTTACGGTTTCAGGAAATTGTAGGTACTATTGTTTATCTCGAGCGTTGACATAATTACGCTAACTACATGTCAAACGTTCGAGGTAGCTAAGTTAGAGAAATTCATACTCGATTTGGGGTTTTGTTCACTGTTCAAACTATTTTAGAAAAACACGTACACTCCCAATTTTAAAGTACCAGGTCTTATTTGTGAGTTCTCAAAAATGGACATTCCCGAGCTTTACGTAAATGCAACACCGAAATCAGGAGGAAATGAACGTCAAAATCACCGTCATATCTAGGGAAGCGCTCAAATGCTTCCACTTGAATAATCTATGTAAATCGTCTGTCAGAATATTTTCTGACTGGTTACTGTTGTACTTCATGTAAAGAAAATCTACAACATAGGGATAACCCGACAACTAAAATTATACAAAGCAGCAGTATTTTGGATTATATTCCAGATAGATATAAGATCCTTTATGACAGTAAAGTGTTTTTGTGTTTAGTTTAGTTATTAATTTATTTATTTTATCAGGCAGTGTGGTAGAGCAAGGTCATGCTGAGAACCACATTCACATTCTACAAAACAGCCAGATGGACCTGGGATACGGATCGTAGGTCTTTTGGATGAGAAAACACTGGATGGAGTGAATCCATCTGTCCAATAAACAACAACATGAGGTGCCCAGACACTGTGTAGGAGGAGGAGGTGAGGGAAAGGGAAAGATCTCCTTACAAGAATTACGACTCGCATTTATTTTCTGTGACGCCAATGAAAAATGTGAACCCTCATTACCTGAATAATCCCTGAGTGTTTTACTGTAAAGTACTTCAGAACACCAATATAGAAATAAGATTTTTTTTAAAGTGCCTAGTGCAGCTATTTTCCACATTTGTTTTGAAATTTACTTTTTATTATTAAGATTTTAAGTCATAGACTTAACTTGCAAAACTGTGATAATACATTTCTTCAATTTCTTTTCTAAATTGAAATCTGAAAAAGGTAGAATGCCTTTGTATTTTTATTTATCTTTGACATCCCTAGATAAAATCCATCTCTTCAGATATTTTAATTTGTGACCTATATAAATAGTCAGTATATTTTTCTATTTTCTTGACTGACAATTGAGAAGGAATTGATTTTATAAACCCGTTATAACCATGTTTCCCATATGTGCCACACAGATTGTGTCAGGGAGAGAATAATGGCTGTTCGAGGCACCATGAGCTTCCTCCGTGTATCTGAAGTTCAGTTGGACTGGAAGATGAGAGGCTCCAACTGATCTCCCCAGGCAGTCCATCAGTCCTGCGTTTGTGTAATTCGGCCTGACGGACACACACTGCCCTTGTAGTTCAGCTTTAATGGACTGGCGTGACATCAGCCAATGCAGGAGGCGAATTTACTTTATGAACTGCTGTCCATGTGTACTCTAGGTGAAGATACTCTGCTTGTGAATGACAATGCACCACACAGATATCGGTTTATGTATCTATTGCGTTTGGATGAAGCGACATAATTCAGCTGCAAATATCTGTAGTATCAGTTCTGTATAAATCAAATAGCATATTCTTGGAAATCTTCAGATTACACACACAAGATGGTCATGAGTCAAGAAAGTTATATTTATTTATTTATGTTTATCTGTTTCAGACAAAGATGTTAATGCAAAAAGCAGTTTTTAACTGATTTTATGGGAAAATAAAACTTTTTCAAATCAGCAAGTTCTAAGTAAAAAAGTATTTGTCGTGCAAAACCAAGAAACTGATCACAACACATCATACCGTATTCACTTTATCTTTGTCTGATAAATTCTTATATTCAAATTTGTTCAATGAATGGAAACATTTGACAAAAACAGGAGAAATCACCTGTTTAGCACACCTGAACTGCCCTCAAATGTCTGAAGAACTATTTTAACACATGGAGAAACACCTTTGTCTTTCCACAGCACCCTGTGACAACAGTGTGCTTTAAAAATATTGCACCACTTGTGGCATCACACATCCATTTGCTCTCATAACACCAAGAGGTGTTGCATTAGTTCCTAAGCAACGTGGCGTTTAATTTCGGAAAAACAGGAGACAGAATGGCTTAACCCAACAGCACTTCTTTAGAAATACAAATCTTTTTGTAGAATTGACACCCACATTCAAAGCTACCGATAAACTTATGTGTGATACTGTTAAATGGGAAAGACACATGTTAAAGTAAAAAAAAAGAAAAAAAGAAAAGTGCTATTAATAGATATAGTGGTGTGAAAAAGTGTTTTCTCCCTGTCTTGGTTTTCAGCTTTTTTCTTGCATGCTCTTCTCACTTCAGTGTTTCAGAACATCAAACCAATTTAAATATTATAGGTTTGCGTTTCGCTCTCTCTTAATGATCAACACCTTCATTTAGTAACTCCATTTGTGTTTGACTAACATAATCAGGAAACACTTTTTCACATGACTCTCTCAGGGTTTCAGCAGAAACAAATGAGGATTATTCCTTGAGTTTGAGTCACACAAGAACCTGTATTAAATGTCTGAATTAACTATGTAATATATAAAAGCTCTTTTTACACTGGTTGAAAATTGCATTTTGGTTGAGCAAAAGCAGAGAAAGCTGAGGTAAACTCTGAGGTGCAGCCAGAGGGAGGGATTGATGCTCTCTCTTTTTCTGCTAACACGTCCTTTCAGCAGAGCTGGTTTGCAAGGCAAGCGATTCCCAGAAGGCACAGCAACTCTGGACCGAAACAACAAATGTTTGTCTTTTTATCATTCATCACATGCAAATGTAGAATAATTTGTACCAATCAACAAGATTGCTCTGTTTTATTTTAGATATTATTTGGATTTTAAATTACAACTTTATATACATATTTATAAATAATATTTCATGGTAAGACCTCGCAAAAATATTCAAACCAGTTAAAAGTTTTCAAATTTTGTCACTTTGCAACCACAAACCTTAACTTTTAGTGATAGGCCAACATAGTTATGGAGGATTAATAAAGAATGGTTTTAAATTTGAAGTGTAACATATTTTTCAGAAAGTCTTTTCCAGCCTCAAACATGTTTCTTTCAATATTGCTTTGTATTTTCGCATCATCTATTTCTCCCATCAAATCTAACGCGCTTCCATGTTTTTGCTTAATCATCCTACATTATGATTAAAAAAAAAAATAAAAAAATTCCTTCAAAAAACAAAAAGGGAACTAAATCACATGAAAGTGGTTGCAATGTGAGGAATTTCAGATAATGTAAAGTAGCTCAAGGGATTGTATTGCTTTTGCAAATTATTGTATACAATTGATGCTGAAAAGTGATCATGATTCATCAACCCACACAAAGAACATCATGCTTCATAATTTGTTTCAGATTTATATGTAAGTTGGTGTCTTTTGTCATCTAATAATTAATAATCCTATGCAATATCTTTAAAACATTATTTTTTTGAGCTGATGTATGGTACTTGGATTTATTGTAAACATTGATAAATATTTTCAGGTGGATAAATGACACAAAATAGACAATCTGTGGGTTGAACATGCATTAGCCCACATAATATAATCTTGCATAAAATTATGAAAAATTACTTTTTATCTAATAATGAATCGCTTTATCCGATGTCAGTGTAAGAAAAGCTAAAACACAAAAGAGAACAGGTGAAGGAATGATAGTGAAAATGCATAGCAAGAAACTTTATTCCTGTTGCTGAAAATTCACAGAAAAACTCAAAATGGCCTCAATACAAAAACAAACATAAGGAACATTTTGTGGACTCATGATGAGACCCAAACATTTTTTTTTACAATATCCTTAACCTCCCCAGAACCATCCAGGGAAATCTAAAACTCTACAGAGTCCTGTTCACATTTAAGAAAACAAAACAAAACAAAAAGGCTAAACCTCCAATTCATCAAAACTGTCTTCAGAGTCCACATGGATGCTGCTGTCCGTCTCCACTGAGACCACAGAGCTGAGACTGCTGTTTATGGACACCATGCTGCTGTCGCTGGTCCTGCTACTGTCGTCATCGTGGATCACCATCACCTCGGCGATGGCGGCTGCTGGAGAGCACGGAGATAAACACAGTGTGAGTTTGGTCCATTGTTGTCTCTTATAAATGAATATCTAGTTTCGTGGGTTATCTTTTGCTTTTTGACTGTGTTCCTAAAAAACATGTTTTATAGTACTGCCATCTAGTGTCTGAAATGTTTATTTCCTCTTCCTCTGGTTGCCTTAAAAACATGCAACCAGATTTGTAACCTACAATTATAATTTTGTCTTTTACTCAAATATAATTTCCATCCTTTGATTTCAGATGCCTAACTTTTTGGCCACATTGCCAAGAAACATGTTTTCAGGAGTCAGTATGAGGATTTTAATCTTAAAAACGCTACCAAGTGTCAAGCATGGTGGTGGCAGCATCATGGTAACAGTCTGTGTTGCTGATGGAGACTCTAGCGCATTTCAAAGATGATTTGATAATATGATTTGATAATATGTTCATCAACATATTATCAAATCAACAATTATGGTTGTTACTTGGACACAACTGGTTGTTCAAACAGAAAGAAACGCCCCAAACACGTCCATCTGGGACTGATAATATTAACTCTATGGTAGGGGTTGCACCGATTGTTGTGTTATGGCCGATCATCAATTTTTAAAAAAGCTTGACATGCTGTTCATGATTTTAGGTAATACATTTGTTTTTATAACCAACACTGTTGTCAATGTTTCCAATAATACAGAACAAAAATGTCAATTTTTGTCACTTGACGCCATTTTTAAATAAAAAAAAGAGAGAGAGAGAGAAAAAGTTGCTAGAGCTTTCTGAAAATTCACAAATTCTAGTAAAATCCTTAAGTTGGCAACAGTGGGGAAATTATTGCTAAACACACTTGGGTGATTTTCAGACCTTAGCAGAGGCAGATAAGATCGGTTTCATAAGCAATTATCTGCTGATAGCCAAAAATTAAAGAAATCGTTGCACTCTTACTTCCTACAAGTCCCCTGATTTCAAGACAACTAAAAACGTCTGGGCTCT